CTTCTAATTTCCATTCAAGGCCTCCAACTGGAGGAGTTCTTGTGATCCTGCGCACACTTCACGTATTTTTCCTCTACCAGCTTGCTAAGATCTGGGCGAGTTGTCCTAGTTCTAGCAAGGGGATGCTGCAGCGTCGTTGGCGGTGTGCGCATGCAGATGTCAGGGACGAGAGAGATAGAAGTGCTTTCGAGGTGGACCTGCCCTTGATTTGGTACGAGACCATTCTTCTTACGCTAGACATACATCCCGGATCGAGTACATTGAATGATCAGAATCTGTGTCATACTGGACCGTATATTTGTGTGAAACAAATGTTACTGATGGGGTCATGCTAGCTATAGTAGTAGGTTAGCTTCTACCTAGTCCACGAGAGTCATTCTTGCGCCGTAATTTCTCTGTGGTTCGAGTCTACTGTATGCCCGTGCTCACATACGCTTAAATGAATATTTTACTCCGAATGTCAACGGTACATTTATTGAATTGCACAAAATAGTACATACTCGAACTTGAAAGAGGATAGTGGATGGAGCGTCGGGGACGGGTGCACGCCACTGCGATATAAATATCACATATGTGCTATTCTACATACGTACACAACAGTAAACTTCGGTCCAAAACGTTCTGAGTAGGAAGGAAGGCGAAATAATAGAAGAAATGCAGCTTCACACATAGCAAGACACAGATGATGATATAACAGTCTATGACGACAAATATCGCAATGAGAATTGTGCAATGCAGGAAATAAATGGAGAGTCTCACAGAGCAATGACCGTGAATTTCATGAGGGCCGCTTGGGAAGTAGCTTGACGGTCCTCTCCCGCTTGACAATTTGCGCATCCTTGCCGAAATAGCGGGCGGACGTGAAGGTCCATTGTAGGGGACCGGCAATCCAGTTCTGCAGTCCTAAGACGTAGATAGCCACATCTTTGTCGATTTCTTCTCCCCATGAAGGGAGGACAGCACGGTTTTCTTCAAAGCGCTGGAGGGATATTCTGCATAGCTGGCCGCAACGGTCAATAGCACCTTGCAGGTCGAGACCTTGATCGAGCATGAGCACAGCAACTAAATTATGTGTGCTATTGTGAGATTGTTCCTGGTTGTAGGAGAAAATATCCTGTTAACAGCGATGTCAGTAGTGCCTTGACTTCGACGATAGAATAAGGTATTACATTTGACCAAGAAACAAAGTCGTTGGTAGCCTCCTCCATGGCCTTGATGACCGGATGTGAGACTACTTCCTCGGGAAGATCAATCTGATTGGCGAATTCAATAAGAGCAAAGCAAGACTTGCAGCCGCTCAAGTCGCGCCTTAACTCGATGTAAGATTCAACATCATTGATATGTCCCTTGGCACGGTTGTCCACCTCCTTTGCCGCAGAGATGAACCACAAGTCCATTGCGTGGATAAAACGCTCTGTGCAGCCAGGGCCGCCAGTCTCTCTATAGCGACCGAAGTATCTAAAGACCGTAAGATGGTACAGAATGTGGGCGTGACGGAGAACATAGACGTACGATTTGCACATCCTTCCAGTATATCTGTCCGTTTGGAAATTAACGGGATCGCGGTACGCAGACATACAGCAGTCACGTATTTCCCACGCATCATTAACATCAGACCTCTCGATCTCGAGCCAGTCGTCTACTGTAAACGACCACCCCAGGAAGTCCGCGCAGACTTTGAGATGGAAAGCATCCGCATCAGGGTAACAAGATGAAGCGAAGTAACCTGGAAGCAAGCTCGTATATCTGGTTTTCTGCGGCTCTACTAGATGGGCCTCGCTACAAAGCCATTCTTCACAAGCGCGAGATACCACATCACAGTGAGGGTTTAGTCGCATGGGGTAGCGGAAATCGCTGAAGAAGTCAGGTATGATGAACTCTGTGAGCTCAGAATCAGAACAAGTGGTGGTGCAGGTTGCGGTAGAAGCCATGGAGGTTGTCGGACTCGTGTAGTGAACGTCGAGATGAGTGAATGGAGAAATCAGAGACCCGAGTTAATACAAGACAAGGGTTCTGAAATATGTCAATCTTTATATACTTAGGCCAATCTTGTCAGCGGGTGTGTAGCATTGGCTTAGACTATCGTGTGCTTTTGGAAAAGACGGTCCGCAGGTCAGGTTGAAAGAAGGTGGAGTGCAGACTCACCTGCGCCATGTGTCACCTACTCGAATAATAGCAAGGCGCGAATCGGACTTCCATTAATAGGGTGAAACATTACTGCGCTAAGCCATAGTCTCCTTTTTATTTGATTTTATGTTTCCTGTGCCAACCTTGATGTCGCTAACGAAAAATGTGAGACTCGGATTCTGCGCTATTCCATAGGCAGGAGAGACAACTATGAGACTTTTCTCGCAATGCAGTGTGTTGTTTTGTGATTGTTTCGTATCAGTAGATCTTCTCCATGAACATGACAGACCGCTCACCTCGAGCTTTTTTCCTTCTGCATTCCCTTTCTGGAAGTCAGTCGTGCGATGAGTAGTAGAGATGTTAAGACGATGAGATGTCAAAACAAGAAGACAATGAATTTCGTACTATATCTGAGCGACGACTCACCTGTATGTAAATCGGGATCGACCGACTCATCTAAGATCTGTTTGTTGACTTGTGTGGGCGTCATGATTCATGATACCAAATGTAGAGTACCAGAATTTCATCCACAGCGAATCTGCTGGGCGAGCCGAGATAATAGTCAACGACTGAGTACATGGTTTCAGATCTGTGGGTAAATCAGTAGAGTAGAATCGGTTCGCTCGGTTCCGCTGCAGTTCGGCGACTACCGTATGTAGCTCATATCTGATGGCCATGAGACTCCTCATATGCCACCATGGATGATCTATTCGAATGATCCAAAGTGCGTTCAGCTGTCGCGCACTGATAGATACATTATAGTCCCGCATCAACATACGTGATAAAAATCACATTACTCATCAGAAACATTCCTTGTCAAACATGTTTTAGTCACCAGTCGGGGGAAATGGCAAGAACAAAACATCAGATCTGGAAGTAAAGACGCATCGGTGTAATTTCCGAATCCTAGTATCTTTGTGCACGTACCACACTATAAATGTAGCCTATAAGAAGTCATTGTGTCCAGCTGTGAGTAAACTATGGAGGTAATGATAAAGTTTCACTTACGTTTCTCAGCGAGTTTCTGAGTGACGCTGTTGATGGTAAGGCCGTCAGGGAGCGTATGCACAAGCACCCACCTTATACCCACATTAACGCTCTCATTATAAGTAGTTGATGTAGGCTAGGACTATGGAGCTCGACGCTAGCGCCCCGCGGGGTTCAAACGGAGTTTGGAATACGTGACAGGGACGACGCATCACACATTTGCAACCGCGGTTGTGCATCTCAATATTAATATTGGCTCACGTCCAACTTGGAAACTCTCTGGTCCATTCACTTCAAATGCCCAGAAAAATAACATAGATACTAGAGCAGCATACAAAACATGGACGAAATGCCTATAACGAGCAAAACCATTTTTAAAGAGAGCGAGAGTAGCAACGGGGAACCTTGAAAGATGCAGCGACTGAAGTTGGACTGAAGGGCATAGAGATACGATATAAAACTGGATGGCTATGAGTGGGATGTTGATGACAAATGCAGCAGGGAATTAATCTGGAACAGTAAATAGGTAACGGGATATTGATGCACGAGAGCAAATGCGCAACCAGGCGCAGTGTCCGAATAAGTGGCGCTCATCGAAGAGCATTCAGTTTTCTCTCATCTCCTCATCGATAGTGCTTCCAAAATAACATTTATGAGCAGGGCTGGAGGAGATACCAGGCGACATATTGGTCGAGAACTGCATCACAGAATCAGGACTGAGAAGCCCAGGGGTGTTAGGACTAGCCACAAAATAATTCATGAGAGGTTGGCGAGGAATAGGTATGATAAGCGCAGGAGGCGCAAGAGTACGCGTGTATTTTGCAGATGGTGATGGCGGTGGGAGTGCAGGGAGGGGGGCAGTAGGGGGCGGAGCGAGTGGGACGGTTCGCTTGACTGCACGACGCAGGCTGCATAGCATACGTTTCAGAAGATGTCCAATTATATGCATCAGTGGCACTCACCGTAGTGGAGCACCTGCTTCCAGACTGCCACTTCTTAGTCTTCCGAAGAGACTATTAGTTTCTGAAGCGTTCTCTGCGATGCTGCCTGCACGACTCCGGGTGGGAGACATGACGCCAGTGCGCTGAAGCGCGCTACCCGCATTTCGCGTTGGGGACTTGATAAGAGCCATCGGGTTGACGCCAATATTCATGCTACTGCGACGCCTGCGCATGCGAGGACGATCGGCATTCGCGGTGGGTGCTGCAACAACATTATTCGAGTTACTACCAGGTGTGGGTGTCACGCTCAGATCGCGATCGACAGGGTGCATAGGGCTGGGTGGCATCGGTGAGGAGGATGGTGCGGGAGTGGTTGCTCTGGGACAATAAGGCGCGAGAAGGCCAGAAGAAAAGAAAGCAGAATAGGTGACCATCGTTGAAAGGGAGAAGGCTTTTGTGAAGATGCTGCTGTAATTGAGGATGTTGGTGAAAGAACAAGTTGAACCAAACCAAATTTGGCACGCGCCGGTTTTCATTTCGCTAGAGCACTGCCACATTAATATTATTTATCGATGTTAACAGCACAATTCAAGAATCAAAACTTGTCCGACATCATATGAAGCATGGGCGCTGGGAAACTCGTGGCTGGTCCGTTCGAGAATGTTGACGAGGTGGACGCAATTCAATTTTCAACACACTCGAAGAAGCTTTGCAGTCAAGTTGTGGGCGGGCACGTATCTCGAGGTCTGGTCTGTCCAGTCACAGAAATTAAAGGCGAGGAAAGGAGGGGGTTTCAGGCTGAACCGCTGAAGGATGCACATAGTTGTTACTGGCCGACGAGTCTCAATCGATTTTGACGACGCTCATCATCAATGTTCAGACCCTTACCAGAAAGGGTTGTTCCACCATCTTCAAGTTGAAGATCATTACCACCCCGCCAAGCAAGGCCGACTAGCTCAGTTGGTTAGAGCGTCGTGCTAATACGATCCGCTGGTAAGTGTGTGAATACGAAATTTCCTCCCACTCTTACCGACGGACTCGATACGCGAAGGTCTTGGGTTCGATCCCCACGTTGGCCAATCTTTTTCAAGTTGTACGGTGTTGTTGCCCGTTTTGGATTGCACCCTTCTGTAAATTTAATTTTTGAAGGCTGTCATTGTACCATAACGACCCGAGGTTGCAGGGCCACCTACCTCTCTCCTTGCGTCGACACCAAACCATCATGATGACCAACCCAATACTTAGCTGACCTTAATTTCATAACCAGGACCTCATACTTTGCGGACCAAAAACATCGTATTATGGTAAATTTGAGGACTCCCAACGCCTTCGCTTGATAATATATCTGACATCTGATTGCTACAGATGTCGATGATGACTCAGGTACCAAGCCTTGAATGCAGGGGAAACAAGCAAATATTGTGGCATCGTTCTAATCTTTTTGAAGTCTGATGGCATTAAGAATGGCCAGGTTCGAAACTTCAGTTGAACAACACTTCCCGGAATAACTGGCACGTCACACTTGGCGGTTTCGTCAGTGTCACTCATTGTTCTGGACATGAAATTCTCCAAGCGGATACCATTCTGTAGTCCAAAGACTGTAGTGAAGGTCTCAGTGCGTCTGTTGTATGCCGGTGCTGATATATGATAGCTAACGTGATGCCATCATCGACTTCGCCTACTCTCAGGCTTGTGCAATAAAATGACATTATAGCCTGCGATGACGAAATATAGTTGGGTTGAGCAGGAAGAGAAAGTATATAGATATGAGACATTAACTCGACGAACCTCGGCCGGCGCTACTGCCATAGCGTCGCTTCGTCACCACTTAATATCGCGGTCGTAGAATCGTACCTACTCCGACGTCTCCGATCCTTCCGGTTCCTGATGTCGACAACAGAACTCATGCAAATTATTGCGACTATGTGCGACATATGGCCTTCTACTTTCCTCACCGTTGCGAGTCACTCACGTCCACTACTCATGTCCCCCAGGTGTTCAATCATATATTTATGGGTCATAAATGAGTTCAAGTTTTAGCTCTTTCCCCCTACTTTCTCGCGAGTGCTTTCCACCATGGGTGCCGAAAAGACAGACGCTACTGCTTATCAAACTAGCAAAGACAAATTATCTAGCGTCTCAGACCATGATGGAGAGTCTATTCTGGCCCCCCCGCAACACACCCTGAAACGTAAACTCGAGAATCGTCACATCGCCATGATTAGGTGTGTTGACTTTTCTTCTTTCGTCTGGTAAATTCTCACCTCCGGCAAGTATTGGTGGTGTCATCGGCACTGGTCTTTTTGTTGGAACCGCAAATTCTCTGATGTATGGAGGCCCCATTGGTCTGCTGCTCGGTTACATAGTCATGGGCACTATCGTCTATTGCGTCATGATCACTTTGGGAGAAATGGTATGTTTTCCCAGACGTAGGTCACATATCTGATCTTCATTTCTATAGGTTGCTTTCTTGCCCATACCTGGTGGTCACATCAAACTGGCCGAGCGCTTCGTTGACCCCGCATTCTCTTTTACATTGGGTTGGAATTACTGGTATAGTTGGATGATTTCCTGTACGTCTCATTCTTCCTCGTTCATTTCGCGCAATTACTGATCTCTTACCTTTTAGCACCTTGTACTTGAGTTCGATGCGTTTTCTTAGCGCGCCTGCTGACATTTGTTATCATCCCAGCCGAGATTGCTGCTGCTGCATTATTGATAAACTATTGGAATAACACTGTCAATAACTCAGTATGGGTTATCATGTGTTTTGTCGTCGTTGTCACCATTAATATGCTCGGTGCTGGCGCTTACGGCGAGGCGGAATTTGTCTTTGCGTGCGTACCGAGTACTATATCCAATCTCGTATTCTGAGATTATTGTAGATCCATCAAGGTCATCACAATCACCGGTCTCATTATTCTCGGTATAGTCATTGATTTGGGAGGTGGCCCAAACCATGACCGCATCGGATTCCGCTACTGGAAAAATCCTGGACCATTCGTTCAATATAATGGAATCGGAGGTGCCAAAGGACGGTTCCTTGGCTGGTGGGCTGTTTTGACGCAGGCTGCTTTCTCGTTCATTGGAACCGAGATCGTTGCTGTATGTTATATTCTATTCTTTTCAATCCATTGCTCACGAATCTCACTTAGATTGCTGCTGGAGAAGCGAAGAATCCTCGTCGTACTTTGCCAAAAGCTATTCGTCGAGTATACATCCGTATATTGCTTTTCTACATCGGTGGCACGCTCATCGTTGGTCTGCTTGTACCATCCAACAATCCGTTACTGCAATTGAATAGTGGAACCGCTCAGTCTCCATTCGTCATTGCCATCGAAACAGCCGGAATTAAATTTCTACCTTCAGTAAGCCGCACATTCATTTCCTTATGTACCTCCAAATTTCTCATTGCTATTCAAACTAGATTGTCAATGCCTGTTTATTGACCTCGGCATGGTCCGCCGCATCTAGTGACTTGTACACTGCGTCTCGTGCAGTTTGTACGTATACTTCTGACAGCCAACTCGTCGAAATTAACGCACTTCGTAGATGGTCTTGCAGCGTCAGGAAATGCTTACAAGTTCTTCCTTAAAACCACACGCAACGGGTTGCCTTACGTTGCTGTCCTCTTCTGCGCTTCGTTCTCCCTTCTTGCATTCATGGCTGTGTCCACCAATGCGGGCTCAGTGTTCAACTGGCTTGCCAACATGTCATCCGTCGCTGGCCTTATGTCGTGGTTTGGTATTTCGGTGACGTACCTCCGCTTCTACAAGGGTCTGCAGGTCCAAGGCATCGACCGCAAGACGCTCCCTTACTACACAAATCTCCAGCCATACGCAGCGTGGTGGGGAGCCATTTCATCGTTCACTGTCTGTTTGGTATGTTAACCTCCCATATCCGCTAATGCTGCTAATTAGACTGACTATTCCTCTACTATCTAGTTCAGTGGATGGAGCGTCTTCCTCAAAGGAAGTTGGAATACCTCAACTTTCGTCACCAATTACCTCCTTTTTATTACCTGGCCAATCATGTACGTTGGCGCTCGTTACTACTATGGCACGAAGCCCGTTGCTCCAGAGGACATGGACTTCAAGAGCGATATTGCTGAAATCGTGGCGGATTCATACGACGAACCCCCACCAAAAAACAAGACGGAAGCGTTCTTCCAATGGCTGGTAAGCTAGTCGCTCCACTTGGAAATATTTGATATCACTAACATCCTCTTCGTAGTTGTAATTATACCTGCAATAACTTATACCTGGAGCTCACTAATTATGGTCAATTATATCACTTGTCTGTAGGCCTTCAATTATACGACATAGCAATTGGTTGTTTGTTGTACTATCGGTTACGCCATTTTTTACGATCCATTATGTGATTTGTCTTTCAATTCTCAAAACTTCAGATATCGAACAACTTGAAAAAGTTGCCTGGAATCACTTATATACGCGTCACACTTGGTGGTCTCGTCAGTGTCGATCATTGTTCTGACATGGTACTTTCCAGGCGAATGCACGCCTTGCGTTTTGATCAGTGGCAATCTTTTTGAAAACTACGTAGCTACCTCAACCCCTACTTCCTCAAAGGTATGCACTGATGGCGTACACCACAGTAGGTCCGTTTGCTAACTTATTCCGCCGTGCGCCGTTTACGACGATGATTTCACCCGATGCCTGTGGTATTTATAGCAAGCTTCCTGGTGGTATTCTAGCATGATTATTTGTTGACTAACTTGAAAGTGACCAAATCGGCGTGCGCGTGAGTGAAGTGAGCTTGAGTAGGTACTTATTATAGTCAAACTATGGTAGCTACTTGCAATTTCAATAGCATGATATTCACATTAACATTGAGTATAGAATTTCCTGGCTCCCAGCTCTGAGCTGATTCATTTCGCAAACTTGAAGTTCATACTCACCTCGGAGTCACTGCAGCAACAAGATTAACTTCGGCTGTATTATGTCATCTGCCAAGGAACAACTTACGCTCTGTGGTCCATCAACACAATCGCTCGTGCGTTAACCGAGCCAACATGTTCTTCATCGTGAGTACCTCTGAGACTCCGAGAGCTCCATCACCGTCATAACCAAACTTCAATGCTCAGAAAGAATTGACACACACAATTCTACTCCATCCGTCATACTTTGGTCCTCGGATGCTCCAGTTCCTCGAGTCAAAGCTCTACTCAGACGTAGAAGGAACATGTTCAGGCGCATTCGGGTACATCATTGCTGTCGTCTCCATCCTGGATATCGGAAAAGGCATGGTGCTGAGCGGAAGTGGCCAGGCCGAATTCATCACCCGTTATCGTGCAATAGTCTTCAAACCATTCAAGGGAGAAGTGGTCGATGGGGTTGTGAATAACGTTACCAAGGTGCTCCATACCCTGTTATGTCTCCTTGCTTTGTACTGAATTGTGCATAGATGGGCTTCTTTGCTGACGTCGGGCCGCTGACAGTTTTCGTATCTCACCAAGTGAGTTTGAATGCTCTTCTGTTCTGCCTCGCTCAACATCTCGCACCACTCCTAGCTGATACATCCAGACATGAAATATGATCCAACCTCAAATCCACCATCATTTGCATCAGAGGACCAGGTATCGTCCATTCATGCGTCGTCCCCCTAATGTCCCTACCTTGTCTTGAACAGATCATCGAGAAGAACACCCGTGTACGACTAAAAATTGTTGGAACGCGCGTTGACGCTACTGAAATCGTGAGTATATTAATTTTCAGTACGACCACAACTGTTAACACTAGGTCAGTTTGCCATCGGAACGATCAAGGAAGATCATCTTGGTGTTATAGACTAGTGAAAAGATCGAATTTGGACGATCACCCTATGTATACCTGCTATCACTGTATTCGATGTGTTGTTAACTGCAAAGTACTAATGCCAATGTGATAGACAGAGACTTGGTTTGAGTGGCGTATGGCTGAAGAAGGCTTTGTTTTAGGTCCCCATGACTTACGTTGCAGTGAAACTCTACAAGACCGGACTTCCCTGTGACCGCTTGAGCCATACATCATTGCGAATGATTTGCAACACCGGATGCAAGTGCTTGCATGGCAAGTCGAAC